CTAGAGCTATTGCTTACATTGATGGTACTTACTCGTATATCTCTAAGAGTAATAACTTCCGAGTTTTACGGCAATCTTATTGCGTTCACAAAGACCGACACTTAGTAAAATCTGCTTTGGTTGTTGCTCCAGACGGATATATCCTTGCAATTCAAGGTCCCTACTTTTCGGACTCCCGAAATATCGATGCTGCAATGCTGCGCAATGAATACGAAAAGGATGTTGATTCTATGAGAGAATGGTTTCAAGATAGAGATATTTTTATATTAGACCGTGGATATCGCGATGCTACGTCATGGCTTGAACGCGTAGATTCATAATAAAATGCCAGCTCTTCTTCAACGAGGGCAGAGTCAACTATCAACAGAAGAAGCAAATGAATCGCGTTTAATCACAAAAACAAAATGGATAGTTAAAGCAAGAAACGGTCACATAAAATCTATGTTTAAATTCTTCGCTCAAATAATTAATGTACCGCATATATACAATCTTGGTGACTTTTATCGAATTGCTGGAACAATAATAAACAGCCCAGTAAGCAAGGAACATTAAATTAACGTTTAGAAATATTGACTTTATGTGTATTTTTTAAACGTTTTTTAATAATATTATACACATATTTGAAAAATATTATTTCGTAATATGATTTTTCTGAATGTTGTTAAAATATTTTGAAAACGTTACAGAAAATATTTTTCAAATGTTACTCTGACATTTATTTGAGATCAATGCAACAGTTCAAAATTCCTTGTAATTTGGACTCAGAAATAACGTTGGTAGTATATTAATTTTCTGTTGTTATAATGTTATCGTTTTATAATTGTGCGCAACGCTCATCGCGACAGCCATGATGTACATGATTATCCTACATACGATGCGTGAGTGCGTATACACGTACGTGTGTCAATCGAGGAGTGCGGAGTGCTCTTTATTTACAGCATAATTATATATAAGTAGTAACTATTATATTCTAAAAGTTGTATGATAAGAATTCAATTAACCATATACGTGCTATAATTATTTGTGCTATGAATAGTAGCTGGTGATGTAGGATTCATTTTCCGATTTACAAGAGAGATTTACAAAAGAGAGGAAATATCAATTAATTTTTTTACGTTCTATAATAGATTTGTCCTTGGACATTAAAAATATCATCAAGGTTCGTCAATGCTATTATTTCAATGGTACAAAACAGTGTAACTTTCTATAAAATAACCTCAAAATTTAGCGAAATATGTAAATGATAACGTATAAATAAGCTGGTACACTATGCATGAAGACGATTTGTTGAAGTATTGTGCGGCTTTAATACATCATTGTTTGCATATATCACTGTAAAAGTAATTTAGTATAAAATTGGTATAAAGTTGATAGATATGTAACAAACGATCAGTACAAACAAGACCAAAACTGACTTTTTATTTATTTCTATATTTTTCTCACATATATGTGCTATAATCACACTCTAAAGTATATAAATAGATTATTGTAAGCATATTTTATATGTACAGGGCAATGAATATGTCTTAACATATGGGATCAATTGTTGTATCAAATTCAAAAAACCACCATTTGAAAAATTTGACCCTGGCTAAGATAAACATCAGTGAACAATATATTATAAGGAAAACTCTGTACAAGATACTAGAAATGCTAAAAGATGACCAAGAAGCTTTTACACAAGTCGTAAGTAAAGCTGCTTATTATAATTAAATTATGTATATATTAAATTACAACCTTTTTCTTATCTAAACTATATTGAATTCTTCTTGTTTTAGAGGCTATTAGACAACAATCCCTTGTAATACAGAGAAAGACTTGGAACACTCTATAATGGAATAGCTTAGATTTGCAAACATCCGTAAACAAAGGAAAAAATCTTAAAAGGTAAAAAAGTAATATGTATTTATGTCTGTTAAGTTAGCACCCTCCATAAAAAACCGGAATAACACATATGCAGAAATTAAGTGATCTTTATGCGTTAATTATGTGCTCTATTCACGAATTTTGTGCTCGAGCGGTTTCGTGGGAAATTGCAATTGAAACTGAGGGTGCTGGCTTAACGTAAGCTAGCACCCCCACTCATTAAAATTACATATAAAATAAAAAACTCAATATGCTAGAATTATATGCTTTTTATGTGCTTTCAAATGCCTCAAACAAAATTAGTCTATCTGTAATAGTTTAAAAAATATACGCAAAAAAAGATATATATACTACTGATATAAGAATAAAGTATCAGTTAAAATAGAGAAAGCGAAATAATTCTTGTCTTAAAATGTTTCTCGATTAATGTGTTCTCGAAATATGCACAATGAAATTTTCGTGCTTATCCCCTTCGACCGACCTGAACGTGAGTACCCCATACGTATAAGAGTACCTAACCAGTTAAAATACAGGTAGCAAATTGGTTTTAGTCTTAAAATATTCCTCAATTTATGTGCTCCCGAAATATGCACAATGATTTTAAAAGCATAAAAATCACATTAATTTTTTTTGTTAATGTAATTTTTTGATACAAATTTTTTAAATAAACAATTATATATGTAATATCTAAATATTCTATTACCATATTCTTTTATACATCATAAAACAAATATATCCTTCAAGTATTAGTCACGCAATTGTAGCGTGAACTGTACTATCATTCATGTAATATTATCATGAAAAACAATACACAAGAGATTCTATATAAATACAAATTAAAGTTTACTAAAGAATAACTAATTTTGAAAATTACATTTTGTTTCTATTATTAGAAAGGGAATGTTAAAAATTAATTAAACATATGTTTACTTATATGTATTTATATATTGTTCAGAATCTCAGTGACCCATTCTCCATAATATTTAGCAACTTTGCAATACTTACTCCTAACTCATATTAAATAACTTTAAAAATGTATACAAATACATATACAAATACATATAAATACATATAAATAAAAATTTTTCTGAAATCTTATTAAACAAGTTAATCAATACATTAATCAAAACAAAAATTTTATTCTGTTTATTTTGAAAACACATAAGTTGAGGAACATTTTAAGACTAAAACCAATTCGCTATCTATATTTTAACTGGTACTTTATTTTTATACGTATGGGGTGCTCACATTTGGGTCGGCCGAAGGGGATGAGCAAAGAAATCTCATTGTGCATATTTTGAAAACACATAAATTGAGGAATATTTTAAGACTAAAACCAATTCGCTATCTGTATTTTAACTGGTACTTTACTCTTGTACGTATGGGGTGTTCACGTTCGGGTCGGTCAAAAAGGATGAGCACAGAAATCTCATTGTGCATATTTTGAAAGCACATAAATTGAGGAATATTTTAAGACTAAAACCAATTCGCTATCTGTATTTTAACTAGTACTTTACTCTTGTATGTATGGGGTGTTCACGTTCGAGTCGGTCAAAAAGGATGAGCACAGAAATCTCATTGTGCATATTTTGAAAGCACATAAATTGAGGAATATTTTAAGACTAAAACCAATTTGCTATCTGTATTTTAACTGGTACTTTACTCTTGTATGTATGGGGTGTTCACGTTCGGGTCGGTCAAAGGGGATAAGCACAAAAATTTCATTGTGCATATTTCGAGAACACATTAATCAAGAAACATTTTAAAACAAGAATTATTTTGCTTTCTCTATTTTAACTGATACTTTACTCTTATATCAGTAGTATATAGATCCTTTTTTTACGTATATCTTTTAAACTATTACAGATAAACTAATTTGGTTTAAGACATTTAAAAGCACATAAAAAGCACATAATTGTACTGTATTAAGTACTTTATTTTTTAATATAATTTTAATGAGTAGGGGTGCTAGCTTATGTTAAGCCAGCATCCCCACTTTTAATTGCAATTTTCCATGAAACCGTTCGAGCACAAAAAACGTGAATAGAACACATAATTAGCACATAAAGAGCATTTAATTTCTACATATGTGTTATTCTGCTTTTTTTGCAGAGGGGGAGGGGTGCTAACTTAACAGACATAATATATTTTGATACATAGACTAAATCACTGAAGATGTTACAAATATTTCTAAAGTTGAATGAGAAATTCTTATTTTTCAGCAACTGTTTGGTAAAGATCCGGAAAGATTAATAATCTGTTTAAAAGGAAAGAATAAGAGTTTGAAAAAAAATAGTAAAAGAGTTATATTAAACTAGAGCACCTGTATCGCATTGCCTAAAAAAGAGTTAGAAGGCACCTTAATTTCCCTTATCCGAAGGTTGACTTCAAAAATCCCTTCCTAGGATCCCTTCCTAGAATTAATACTTTCTGAGATAATTGGCAGAGATAATTTGCAGAAATAATTGGCACACGAAATAAATCTCATAATAAAACCTATATATGTATATGTATATGTATATATTTGTTCATATAAATAAAACTACTTTTTTATGGTAATTAGTGTAGTGCATTTTATTGAAAATAAATACATACTCCCTGAAATAAAAATAAAATATCAATAATAACTTTAAATAAACGTTAGAATTAATATTACGGTAATCTTAATATAATATTGTAATAAAGTTGATAGTTTGTTTAAATTTTTATCTCAAAAACGTTACAGGAATGATAGAAAAACCTTAGCAAAATGTTATTTGCAACGTTATGGCACTCCCATTTCAACATTACTGAAATTTCGGAATCGTGGTCAAAGTATATTCATAATGATGTTCTATACAACATTAAGAACTACATATTTAACAACATTACAAGTTCTAGAATATTGTTGCAATAACATTGTAATAATGATTTTTTGCTTACTGGGAGATATCACCCTCTTATCCATATGGAAGGGGTCAATGCGCAACTAGCGAGAGAAATGTTAGAGAAATCCCAAACTGTGTTAATATTGTGCAAGCGCGAGGGAAAGCGGACAATCTTCGTAACAGAAATGGACGATGAAAAAAACTTAACCAACATCACGTGCTTAACTTTCCTCGTCTTACCTTAGATTATCTGCAAGACCTAACGGCAGGTGCAATGTATATCAAGTTCACTTGGCACCTTCTTACATACAGGATAAGATTCAACGAGACAAACAAGAAGAGTTTCAGTTAGATGAACTCATTGACGAACCTGATTTTTTAAGAGTCAGACTATATTGTTGCTGATAGTATGGATTTCAAGGAATGAATTGATTTGTGATGT